CCCCAAAACCCCAAAACCCCAAAACCCCAAAACCCCATTGCTCTAAAACGGATTGCATTAGAGAAGGAATAATAAGAAAATGAAACAGAAATCTTGAAACTTTTTTAATAATTAAACTAGACTTTCTACATTAATTCAATACTACTGAATTATTTACACTAACTATTTACGGTGAGATCAGAAATCCTTCATTTGATGCAGACTCCAGTCTGTTATCTTAAAAAGATCACAGTGAGCCTATTGCTTCTGTTAATATTCTTAAGCTTCATTTTGGCCAGACAAGTTGAAATTTAAACCATTCTTGAATGGGTTTCTCAATTCAGAGAATATTCCTACTGACTCCTTTTCACTGTTTCCATAAAACATTTTTGCAAATGGAATCTGTTCCTACATGTCTGAGTTGTCGGTACTAGAATCCTCAGTCTCAAAGATTGAATCGTTGGTTTGAATAATTTACTCATTTTACTGAACTTTTCCCAAAGTCTTCAGGTTTTCAAATTGATCATAATCCATACAATCGATTGATTGAGGGATCTGTGAACTTTGATTTAATAGACTTTGTTACTAAACTTAGAAATAATGTTTCAGATCCACAATGAGTAAAGTTGTGTTATCAGGGCAAGATAATTAATGAGCCTGTCTAGATACAAGTTCAGCAATCTAACCTAGTCCATGCCCTTCATTGATTTTAATCATTATTTCTGAGATAACTTATTCCTTAGTAAAAGTCTTGAAGATACCATCGGAGGCGAGAATCATGTATTGATCTTGATGAGTTAGGTCAATAGTATGAATTTCGGGTTCAGCTATTAAACAGTTTTTGAGGTCCTTGTCCCCAATGCTACGAGTCACTTCTAAAACGCCTTCGACTCTTACAGATTGTCCGAGAGAAACAATCTTTCCACCAGACTGTATAATTCTCAAATACTCATCTATTCTACTCGGGGTGTGTTCACTAGTTAACTCCATAACTTAATTATTCCTGATTAAAAAAGCAGAGGAATCACCTAGATGAGCAATTGTTATGTGTCTTTGTCTGATAAGTGCCATTAAAGCAGTGGTTCCATCTGAGTAGCTATTTTGATCAGCTAGAGTTAGAAATTCGTTTTCAAGATTTTAGAACACTACACAAAACGTTACAAAATTTCAATTTTTACTGTGCTTGAGGCAAGGACCTGCTTGATTCATCTGACTCTCAAATTTAGCAAGTGTTTTTTCCAAGTTGCTGGAGCAAAATTCTGAGGCTTATGGGCCTAGATGACCGTCAAAAATTGCAAATAAGCCATTTTCTTGCTATCCAAATATTCCATTCTTTGCAACAAACTATAATAAGATAAATATGGTTGTTGATAAAGTTTATTATGCTATGTGAGATACAGCAAATGTTTGTGGAAATGAAACTTACTCTATCTTCTTGAGTTTTCCTCATGTTTCCTCGCATCATTGCTACTCCGAATGAGCCTTAATCGAGGAATTAGTCTTGTGGTGAGAGTTTGTGTTAGTGATACAACTGCTGTTACTACAGCTAGAGTTATTACTGGATCTAATTTCTGCAACTGAGCGGTACACAGTTTTACTCAGAGAATTTTAACTGATCCTCTGATAAATCCACCTTTAAACCAAGTTGGAACTTCTTTTGAACTGTGGATGATCCAAATGATCGTGGTTGCCTTCTTTAAGGCTCTGAATGCTAAAGGCTAAGTTTCAACACGGAAACTGATTCATGAATTTATGTCATTTATTGCTAGTTGATAGTTGTATTTCTTCTAATAATTGGTATTATAAGTTTGTTAATAAAAACAAGAAATATTATTTAAATCTGATTATTTATAAATTTCTCTGTTTTTCCCAAGATAAGACAGATAATTAAGCTGCCTGGGGTTTTGGGGTTTTGGGGTTTTGGGG